TTTTCTAATACGAGCCAGGACGGTTGGGTAGCCTAGTGGTTAAAGCGTTCGCTCGTCTCGCGGAAGACCAGGGTTCGATTTCCCACAATGTGTGAAGCCCATTTCTGGTGTCCCCCACTGTGATATTGGTTGGATATTGCTAAAAACTCACTCACTCACACTAATGCTAATAACGCTTTTAAAAGTCGTTAACGTTCTACGAACGCCATGCAATTGGTTGCTTTCATTCATCTAGCATTGTTTACTGGGCAAAGCAATCCCTGCAGATGACACGCCATCCACCCTTCCTGTTCTATAAAGGTGCAGGAAGTTAGTAGTGACCTTCTGGTGACGCATGCGCAGATGTATGGTCGTCCTAGACCAGGACGTGATTGCTTTCACTTCTCAACATCGTCTGACGGCCATGTTGCGAGTGTAGAAAGTAAGTAGTGCAGGATATATACTTTACTGTGATTTCTGATGTACACACCTTTCATATCTATTTTTAATTCATGAGTGTTTGAAGCAGTTATCCAATCAACCTTACCTATATGGAGAGAAAATTCACCTGACATTTTGTAGTTACGCTTGTTTAAGAAGCCTTTAAGTTTTAAAAATGATGGTTATGAATTACTTCCTTGTCGGTTTCTGAGACATACAAGACAATTAATGTTTACATGTTCCTACCCAAGTTATGTTTGAAGTCTGTATAAAATCTGTATTTGTTCTCTTGGATATGACCCAAATATTATAAACATAAGAGCGGTGTCGGGTTTTACCGAACAAACAGCTGTTACCGAATTCCATTTCCGAGTAGTTTTCTCAGCTTGCGGCTCGGGACAGCTCTTTCTAAGGGTGTAGCTTCAGAGCTTCCAGAGTATTTACAGGAAAACTGTCGTTAAACACAGAAACTATAAATCGAAACATGAAGAAAAGAGAAAAGAAAAAGACAAAGAGCGGGTTAGGGCTGGATTGGTTGTAACCCGGATACCCGGGATGGGTGGATAATGAGTTGGACCCGGGTACCCGTCTTGGTACCCGGACCCGTTATGGTCAGGCCACTAATTAATACATTCAGCAATGTAATATGTTATTCTTTCATGTATTAATATATATATATATATATATAATTACATTCTTTGGAATTAAATACATGGTTAAGATATTGCAAAAACTCAAACTTTTAGCCTCCGAGCTGAAGAATATATTGCCATTTTTACAAATTTGATGTCAGGAATTAACATAACGGGTATCCGGGTAGGGGAGTGTAATAGGGGCTGGGATACCCGGGGTAGAACCTTTGGACCCGTCCCAGCCCTAGAGTGGGTATCTCATCTTAAAAGTGATACATGTATGAGCAACGTGAGATCTAATCCAACAGGTCTGTTCATAACATATCTCTTTCAAACAAATAACATCATGCCTATTTTCGGTCATCACACAATATTAGACTATAATGCATGGTTTTGCGGGTCATGTATGGACTGTAAAGTACGAAATATATTAACATTTCACAAAGTTCGCCCTGTCGCCCTTTCCCGAACAAATCTCATTGGCCTCTAAATCACGAATGTAACGATTCGACATTGGTCTAGCAGAAATGCCTTCATATCAACATACCGATGTACACAGTACATTAAAGGCTTTTTTGATTTTGAAAAGGTCACTACACATGGTTTGTAACTTTGTATTCACTCTCAGTAAACTCCTTGGAATATATGATATACAGAAAATACAGTTAGAAACAGTAATATTTCATTATACAGCTTCTATTTGGAATCTTAAACGCACGTCCATCGAAAGCATTTCGCGATAACGAAAGATAATGAGGTAGACGGCCACGTGATCGCGTGACGTCAGACCGGACAGTCGCCGCATCCACATTCCGGGGCAGAGATGACTGAAGAAGTACTGTCGGATTTAGAAAAACAACTGTTATTAGGATGTTACTCCGTTTCCCTAAAATTTACACAAGTTTAAATTTCATATGTCAAAAAAATAACCCACATCGGCCTAACTGAGCGTTCAGTGGGATGCGTAATAGGATATCCAGAAAAGCATGTTTACTCTAAGTTTTCATAAAATCGGGCAAAACTTAGAAGAAATACGAACAGCTGCTGAAAACAATAGATCAGACTAGATAGATGTCAATTAGGTCACTCAGCCAGGCATGACAACGGGCGGTCGACTCACCTGGCATGAAATGCATGTGCTACCTACAGGCACAAGGGGTCATCTCAAAGATATTTTATGCTTTTTCATGTGTGTTGAATATGTCTCATCTAATGATTAACACCTTATGTGTCTTTCTTTCATAAAGTTTATGTTGAGATATGTAAAAGTATGATACCCATTAATCCTCCCATTAGTTACACGTGCCATTAGTTACACACCCTTATACAAACAACTTTACAGGTGATTGCACATCTAATCTCCTTCCTATTACCTTGAGAGTTTAGAATGGAATGACGCATACTTGTGTATGACAAATAAGACACAGCACTATATATCACTGGACTAAGATGTATGGACAACATTAAAAAAAAGTCAAATAACATTTATATAAAAAGCTGAACATCCTTGTTGATTGTGTATTTTAAAATGTTATAAGGCAGAATGGGTCTAAAATTGGGTTCAAGTCCTCAGTAAAGTCCTTTTTCTACGTTTTCTATCTCCCTAGCAATGAGACTGTAGTTAGGCCGAACTTAGTTTAACAGATATTTCACACTTTCACTAATTAACTACATAAATTGTAAAATGCGAAAAAAAGTGTTTTTCTATTTCCGACAGGTCTTTCAGTATTACGTCACTGCCACAGGCTAATTTGCATACCACGTGACCGGACCTTTCTCTTGATTGTAAACAAACGCGCATATTTGTGAATCAGAAGAGTCTGGCCTGATGCAAGCTTTTCTGTTCGCTCTTCACATTGGTTTGCATTGTTATATAGATATTCTTCCACAATTGCGACAGTGAGGTTTATGACATTGACAATATATATTTATACATCAAAGTGACTACATCGCTTGCTCTCCGTAGAGGTTCGGTGACAGCGCGTAAAACAGAGGATCGCTACGCATAAGGAAATAGTGTTACACGTTTTACGATATTTACTCAGTGAAAGTAAACCATTCATTCAAAGATGCTTGAGTAGATGTGTAGAATTAAAGAATATTTTAGACAATAACTAACGAGTGACAAGGCTCGAGAAGTATTTCATCTAAAAATTTCTTCTTTTTCTAATCTTTAATCCTCACAAAGACACAAGTGCCTGTGCGGCCAAGGTCGTCATTGAGTCTGTCTATTATGAGTGAGCCATGGAGTTTTAGTTTTGAGCCGCTTTTAGCAATATTCCAGGAATATCACGGCAGGGTACACCAGAAATGGGCTTCACGCATTGCACCCATGTGGAGAATGGAACCCGTATCTTCAGCGTGACGAGCGAACGCTTTAACCACTAGGCTACCCCAGCATCTGACTCAATGATGAAACATGGTGACATAAGTCATGGCCAGTTAATATAACACTTATACTGTACTATCCTGGCACTTGCTTGTTGCTTGCTCGTAAGTTAGGCCAAATTTAACTTATAACATTTCACTGAAAAAGTTGGTACTTTTTTCCAATTTTGTTGTTGAAATGCTATTCATAAAGTGTTAATTTCATACTTTGGGGAGTTTTAAGTTGCTTGTTTTAAGTTATAATATAAGTGATAACCGTGACGTGCTTTCAGAAAAGTGAGTAATGGGAAATCAGGACTCACGTCAGAAGACCAGAAGGCTCACTGGGGAAGCAGCTGAAGCACTGAGAAGTAATGAACAAGGGAGACAACCTACTTCTGTATCCGCAACACAGCACATTTACAGTGAGCATTTCCAATATATATGCAGCCATGTACAGAACAAGGTTCAGTTCAGATGTTTTATAAGGGTATACAGCTTTGTTGGTTTGTTGTTTAGTGCTAACGTTTCATTGAAAAAGTTGGTATTTTTCTCTTTTCCCATTTTGTTTTTGAAAAGCAATTCATAAAGTGCTAAGTTCATAGGTTTTGGGAGTTTTAAGTTGCTTGTTTTAAGTCACAAGTAAGTGATAACCGTGATATGCTTTCAGAAAAGTGAGTAATGTATAGTACAGGCTGTAAGGGTTACTGGCCGGTCTTGACATGGGGTCGTTACTGGTGGTCGACCAATGCTGGTTCTGTCCAGATCTTGACTGCCAATGCGTTTATATCTGAAAACGTTATTTAATATAATTTCTAAGCCATTTATTCCTGCATAATTTTAAAGAGTGTTTGAGGATTCAATCAATCTTTAATATTTATTCAGTTCTTAAAAAGGCCACAGAACTGTAGTACATTTTAAGTTTACGTGAGTTGTTAGAAGTAATTTACAAATTCTTTTATATAACAATGCTTTTTCTTAAACTCATAGCGAAATAATTGTACATTGCCAGATTCTGTAATAATAATGTGGTTGTATCGGTTAACAATGAAATTAATATTCTTACACTTGGATGTTTATAACAGTATGGCTTTAGGTATTTCGTTCGTAGAATCGTATAAACAGGACAGATTAGAAGGAAATGTAATTCATCTTCAGCAGTATTCATATTACATAATTGACATATTCTGTTTTCTCTTTAGATACCTGCATACCTGCCAGTTTCAATAAATAATTCATGGGAAGAGCTACGAAAACGAGAAAGAGATATACAATACTTTTTTATGTCGATTTTTGCTAAATAGTCTTCAAAATGTATACCCGATTTCCACTGATTGTAATATAAACATTTTGTAGGTAGAAGTAATGATTCCAACGAAGATTGGAAATACATATCTTTCACTCTTTGAGTAAATGATATGATAAGATTTTTCCTTATCCTGACTCATGCTTTTTTGCTTGCTCTCTTTTCTTGCGAACGATAGTGGAAACACTTGAATCCCTTTTTGAAGCTCCCTTCATAAAAGCGGACGTAAAATCACTCACCACGAGTAGGCTCCCTTTCCTCAATTTTCCCGGGCTTTTCGAGGTCACATGACCCAGGCTTACTTTTCACTCTCTCCTTCTTCGCCCATGCGGGCGGTTGTGAGTCCAACTTGAGTCCCGATACGGCATCAGTTATCCTTTTTATTTAGGCCCAAACACAAATTACAGCTGTATACGGATTTCGGAAGACTACGTCTCTGTTTACATCGTGTTGTTTGTGTATGAAAACTTGTGTTCAATGCAAGTTACGTTTGTCTGCGGTTGATCCACATTAATTATGTCCTAGCTGTACCACTTTATGTTCTTCCAGCTATCGTTGCAAGTTATGTCAGCATTTATCAGAAATTCCATTTGATAATTATATATTTTCTGTATATAGACGTGCAAAGGATCAGCGTAGGCGACTTTCTTTTGTCATGTCTAAATCATCTGATAGCGCTATAAACCGTTCATTAACCACTGTTACTGACGTTCATTCTAGTGTTTTGCCTATGGACATCCCGAGGCAGGCCTCTGCAGCTGGCGCTGTCAACCCTAAGAAAAGGTCCTCTTCTTCGGATGGTCCCTCGTCGCAGACAAAGAAGACCAGGTCATCCACACATAAGAAGAGATCAGCTACCAAGTCTGCACCCAAGGCGCTGCCGAGATCCTTCGCCGATGATATCGTCCCCACGGATGAAGCAGACTTATTTGACGACCCTCCGATGCTCATGCCAGAGATTGTCCACGTCAGCAGGAGGAAGCCAGCCGCCACTACAATGACGACGATGGCTCCTTCTACGCAGACACGGACTGAGGGCCCGATGTCAGCGCAGACTACACACATCCCGGAGATGACGACAACGCTGACACTATCAGCGCAGACCTTCGACCCGGGGGCCTTCATGGAACAGTTCACCAACCAGATGATGCAACTGATGGAGAAGCGCTTTGCGCAGGAGAAGGCCACCTCGACAACATCATCGAGATCACCCCTGCATGAAGGACCAGTCGGCACCTCGATGCACTCCACTGAGGGACCCCGACAGGACAGAGGACACCTGCATGAAGGACCCAGACGATCCTCTACGATGTCTACATCAACGCAGAAGGAGGATGCACGTGCACGCAGGCATCGACGCAGCTCATCCACCTCATCGGTGCAGTCAGACCCGGATCGTCAGGACCATGCACGCAGGCATTCACCTCTACGAGGACGCACATCCCGAGACTCTGATTCAAGCCTCTCACCTGCGCGCAGGTCCTTGACAAGTCTCCACGCAGATCTCCACGCAGGTCTCAGTGCAGGTCTCCACGAAGGTCACCACACAGGTCTTCATACAGATCCCCACACAGGTCTGCACACAGGTCCTTAAGTAGATCTCCACACATATCCTACAGTAGATCACCGGACATCTCGCCGACCAGGTCTTCACGCAAATTGTCACAGATAGACCGAGAGGAACCAATGATAGAGGACGACGGCGGGATTATTTTCTCGGACACAGAGATCACTTCTTGGATAATGAACGGCCTCGACTTAGTCTCACCATCCAAGGACGTCGGCGAGGAGCTCACCTACAAGATGAATAAGGATGACATCGACTCACTGACGTTTCCGTCGATCAACCCTATCCTGGAGGTACCTGGGAACTTGTCTGCAGCCTTCGAGACAGCCACGAAATTCCAGACACAGTCCGTGCCATCCTTCAGCGCCAAAAGGTTCCCGCAACATCACATGGACCCGTTTGTCAAGGCACCCGATGTCGACGATAACTACAAGTTAATAAACGACACCCAGTCTAGGACCTACAAGGCAGCTGGAAACCACAACCAGACACACCTTCTTTGGCCTTGCACGCTCCCGAGCGATCAACGAAGCCCTCATAGCCAAGTTCCACAAATCTACCTCAGAGGACGACAGGATGATATATTCAGCTCTACTGACTCAGAAAAAAGACCACCAGTTTATGTCGGAACACCTGGCATCCACGTCAGCTGGGATTATGCTCCTCAGGAGTAAAGGTCTACTATCATCCTGCTCATGGAACGAGAGATTTACCAAGCCACTCTACAAAGCACCATGGTCAACACCATCCATCTTTGACGGCTGTATTGAAGGGGTTGCCTAAGGAGTTGATCAGGAATCCAGAGAAGTCATGATGATCAAGTCCATCAATACTCTCGCCAGTGTGATACGTCAGACTTCACAACGTTACTCCAACAAATCCAAGTTTGCCCGGAGTACAAAAGGCCAAGGAAAGGAAGTACGCTTCATCTAGAGGAAGTCGTGGATCTTTTCGTCGCCCATACGGATCTACCAGAGGCAATCCAGGACGAGGCTGAACCCCCAGAGGTACAGGAGGACTTAAACGCTGATGGACAGGTTCGGAACGTCTGGAGTCTTCCACCCCGAGCCGTTCCCATACAGCCTTCAACAGTAGGTGGACGTCTTCAACGCTACTGGGAGATTTGGGGAATCCTTCAAGACAACTATGTAACCCATCTACTAAAAGACGGATACAAGATTCAGCTAAAAGACACACCACCACTTTCGGACAAGCCCCTGGTCTCCAACTACGCCTCCAACCAGATAAACCAACTGGACGACACAGTCAAGTCTCTACTAGAGAAACAGGCCGTCGAGGAGATAGAACAGGAGAACGTCACACCAGGGTTGTACTCCCCAATATTCCTCGTACCGAAGAAAAACTCCAAGGAAAAGTTCCGACTGATATACAACATGAAAGAATTCAACAAAGAATATCTTTGCTGCCCGCCACAGTTCAAGATGATACATCTGCCACAACTGCGACGACTCATCCGTCCTCTAGACTACCTAGCCAGTATAGATCTACAGGACGCTTACCTGCACATCCCCATACATCAAGGAAATTCCTCAGATTCCTCTTCAAAGGACGGCACTTCCAGTGGAGGGTTCTACCGTTTGGAATATCATCGGCCCCTTGGTTGTTTACTCGAGTGACAAAGCCCATCGTCAAAGGCTACGCATTGCCTTCTACCTAGACGACGGAACGACGGAATACAGGCTCATCTAGATCCCAGTCAACTCAGACTACAACTAGACTTCACAATCAGGCTACTCACTCAACTCGGATAGCTAGTAAACTTCCTCAAGTCGGACCTGGAACCCCAGCAGGATCTCCAGTTCCTAGGAATGCGGCTCATCACATCCATGAATTGCATAGTTGTACCACAGGATCGCTGGATCAAGATACAACAACTGATATCTCAAGCGACACTCTCCCCGTTACCACTACGAGAATGGCAAAGTCTACTAGGGTTGCTCACCTGAGCTCAAGACATGACGCACAGAGGACGACTGCAACTACAACCACTACAGAAGTTGGTAAATGCACATCTCAACGACCTCCAACTCTTCGGGCCGACGGACGATCTGATACCACATCTAATATGGTGGACACAGAAGTCGAATGTTTGCGGAGGAACTTCATTTTTCCTTATCCTGACTCATGCTCTTTTGCTTGCTCTCTTTCTCTTGCGAACGATAGTGGAAACACTTGAATCCCTTTTTGAAGCTCCCTTCATAAAAGCGGACGTAAAATCACACACCACGAGTAGGCTCCCTTCCCATAGATTTCCCGGGCTCCGACATAACGTGGTCCCGACTTACATGTCACTCTCTCCTTCTTCGCGCATGCGGGCGGTTGTGAGAGCACCTGAGTCCCGATACAGTTTTTATATCCTTTTATATTTAGGCCTATACCGCAAATTCGGCTGTATATGGCTTTAGTATTACTACACCAGCAATATGGTTTACAATTTGATTATATTTTTACAGTTTTGGCACGTTGTTTACATCGTGTTGTCAATTTATGAAAACTTGTACACAATGCAAGTTACATTTGTCTGCGGTATATCCACATTCATTATGTCCTAATTGTATTGTCACATTTTTTCAGCTATCGCTGTCAGTATGTCAGCGTTTATCACAATTCAATTTGATATTTATTTGTTTACTATTCATAGACGTGCAAAAGATTGGCGTAGGAGGCAGTCTCATGTCTAAACCATGTAATAGCGCTAACAACCGTTCATTAACCACTGTTACTGAAGTTCATTATTTTAGTGTTTCGCCAATGGACGTGACGGGGCAGGTCGCTGCAGTTGACACCCCCAGCTCAAGAAGAGGTCCTCGTCCTCGGATGGCCCCTCTTCGCAGACTAAGAAAATCAGGTCGTCATCTACGCAGAAAAGATTTGCTGCTGAGGTCGTCCCCCCGGACGAAGTAGACGTATGTGACGATCCCCCGATCCTCATACCAGAGGTTGCAGTAATCAGCAAGAAGAGATCTTCTTCTACTACGAAGTCAGCAGCCTTATCAACGCAGATACGGACTGATGGCTTCATATCAACGCAGACACGAGGCAGATGTTCATCCAAAGCCTCAGATGCGACTTCGAAGCAGACGTGTTGACCACCCTCCGATCTTCATCCCAGAGGTTGCCCTAATCAGCAGAAAGACGTCAGCTACTACTACGACGTTGGCAACTCCAACGTAGACATGGACTGAGGGCCCTATGCCAGCGCAGACAACAGTCATCCCTGATGTGACGGCACCGCAGACCTTATCAGCGTAGACCTTCGACCCAGGGGCCTTCATGCAACAGTTACTCAACAGATGATGCAGCTGATGGAACAACACTCCCGGACGACAACATCATCGAAATCAACCCTGCACAAAGGACCAGATGACACCTTGACGCACACCTCTGAGGGACCACTACGAGACGGAGAACACTGGCACGAAGGACCTAGACGAACTTCTACAATGTCATCATCAACGCAGAAGGACAGTGCACCTGCACGCAGACGACAACGGAGTTCATCCATCTCATCGGCGCCGTCAGACCCGGATCGTCAGGACCATGCACGCAGGCACTCACCTCTACAAGGATGCAAGGCGACATCCCGAGACTCCGATGCCAGCCCCTCACCTGCGCGCAGGTCCCTGGACAAAGCTCAATGCAGAGGACGATCACCCTACAGATCTCCACAGACACAGTCATCGCAGATATCTTCATGCAGATCTTCACACGGTCGCCACGCAGATCGTCATGCAGGTCCCCACGCAGGTTGCCACACAGGTCTCCTCACAGATTGCCGCACAGATCTTCATACAGCTTTCACGAAAATGTACGCCGTTCAACATTAGCAGATTTTCCCTTCATTATACGAAGTCCTTCATGATATCATCAGGGGTTGAGATCATCAATTAATCCTGTAATAAATCTTTCAAGGTGAAAGATAATAAGATATCGCACCTGGACATTACAACTAGATTCTACAGTTGAAGAATACAGTCTCAACAGACAGGGGTACAGTCTAGTTACATCGATACCAAGCTGCGAAGTTTTCACGCGCTCCCACTACAGCCATCTATACACGTGTTCACTCGTATAACTTCGGCACACTGAACGGAGACGCACGGACAAAGCTGAGTGTTGACGAAGAAATCATCGACTGCACAAGATTCTACAGGAATCATCTACCTGCAACACCAGAGACGTCACACGCCCTGCGCACAAACTCACATCTGGAATCTGATTGGTCCATGAGAGACACACCCTTCGCAGAACTCGGTCAGTCACCTGCCAGGAAGTCGTGTACAGTTGTAAACAACTTTTTCAACGTGGGAAAGACTCCATTTACAGTCCAGCTAGCAGGGTATAACGTGGTTTGACCGTCTTCACGGATCATAGAGGTCTTCCCCTGTCAGCAGAAATTATATGGATTATCTGGGGACTTGCAGCGACAAGCGTTAGGTGATTTCTGCTCGTGGCAGCCAGTCGACTATAAATAGACTTACATCGATGGCAGTCCCAGTACATCATAGATTTGCTGATCCAGAGAAGATCATCGCTGCAAAATGTTGGGATTATGGTGACAATATCTTCATTACATATCACAGGAAGATTGATGAGACAAGCTTCAAGCCATGACTCCAGACTCGATCGTCTCTCCACTTCCATTACGGACATGGCAAGGGTTTCTAGAGCCACTTACCTACAACGTAGGACATTATTGCAGTAGATGGCTAGTAATCTCCAATCGGAGTTGGAACCAAAGCAGGATCTTCAATTTCTGCGAATATGACTCATCACACCTTAGAATCACACTGTCGTCCCAGAGGATCATTGGCTCAAGATACAATACAGTGTATCTCAAACAATCTGGATGAGAGCCGTCATTCCACGAGCCTCCAATCCACATGCAGTTAGAGCCTTTGCATCTACACTCGCTCTACATGGAAATTACTCCATCTCTACAATTATGGAGTGTTTGCCAATCACTACCTCAGAGACATTGCTACAGAGGACATCGCCGGCATTCACCAGTTTGGTCCACTTGTTGTAGCACAACAATTGACGATTTCACAAAGGCGCTGAGATGAATCTCATCCCTTTATCACGTGACTTGAGGAAGCCTACACTCGAGAGAGTAAGAGCTTAAGTCCATGTGCACGTCTAGGACAGGCTAGCATGAGTGATTAGACCTGGTACTTGTAAGGACTTACTCGTACACGGAGAAGGGTCAATGCTCCACTTGATGCCAGCATCAAAAGATGGAGCTACAGGAAAAACCACACCTTAAGATGTTTGGAACAATCTGAGAAGCTGTGGCCCCCGACTCATCAGAGAACAATACTCTCTCCGTTACCACTACAAGAGGGGCAGAATCTACTCGGCCCATCTCGACAATCTGGAACACTTTGGGTTACCGAATCGACTGAAACCATATCTACTATGGTGGAATCGGAATTAGAATGTCTGCGGAGGAACCTACTTATTAGAGTCAGATTACAACAATCATCTCTACGTCGATGCATCACTTCAAGGATGGGGTGCTCACTTCGACAACGGAGTGGCAATGGGGAATTGGTCGAGTAACTGAGTCTGCACACCAACATGCTAGAAATAAAAGCAGTAATCAAAGCCTTACTACATTGATCCAATGTACTA